AAAGTACTCATTTGGCCTATGCCTCCAAGGATAAGGGCAAGAAAAGGAAGAATGATAATGAAGCTGCTAAGGGTCCTAAGGGTCCAGTTCAGAAGAAACAACATAAGGATAATCAGGGTTATTTCTTCTGTAACAAGCCTGGACACGTAAAGAAGGATTGTACAGTTATTTCTTCTGTAACAAGCCTGGACACGTAAAGAAGGATTGTACAAAATATCACGCCTGGCGTGCTACTAAGAGTACCTAGAAACACTTGGTGGTTAGACTCTGGTGCTACTACTCACATAAGTGCTTCTATGCAGGGTTGCCTGAACTACCGAAAGCCAAGTGATGTTGAAAGACACATCTTTGTGGGCGACGGTCAATCGGTAGATGTGGAAGCAATTGGGCATTTTAGGTTGCTATTAGGAACTGGTTCTTATTTGGACTTAAAAGATACTTTTGTAGTACCATCTTTTAGATGGAATTTGATTTCAGTTTCTGTATTGGACAAATCAGGTTATTCTTGTTCATTTGGAAACAGTCAATTCAGTTTATCTTTTAATTCAAATGTTGTGGGAACCGGTTACTTAAGCACTTATGACAACCTATATCTGCTCGATACAATTGCTTCTTATAATGAATCCTTGCATGTGGAATCACGTGGTACTAAGCGTAAATTAAATAAGGAAAATTCGGCGACATTATGGCATAAGCGCTTAGGTCATATCTCAAAAGGTAGAGTTGAGCGTCTTGTGTCTGATGGCATTTTGGATTCCCTTGATTTTTCGGACTTCGACGTATGTGTTGAATGTATCAAGGGAAAACAGACCAAAGTGAAAAGATTAGGTGCCAACAGATCTTCGGATGTCTTAGAATTGATACATACGGATATTTGTGGGCCATTCCCTACGGAATCCTGGAATGGTCAACAATATTTTATATCATTCATAGACGATTACTCACGTTATGGGCACCTATATCTTATTCATGAAAAATCTGAGTCTCTGGACATGTTCAAAGCCTATAAAGCTGAAGTTGAGAATCAACTCAACAGAAGAATTAAAACCGTTAGATCTGATCGTGGTGGTGAGTACTATGACAGATATGATGGTTCAGGTGAACAACGTCCAGGACAATTTGCTAGATACCTAGAGGAATGCGGTATCGTCCCACAGTACACTATGCCAGGATCACCTAGCATGAATGGTGTAGCTGAAAGACGAAACAGGACTCTTAAGGATATGGTAAAAAGTATGATTGCTCATTCTTCTTTACCAGAGTCACTCTGGGGAGAAGCACTTAAGACAGCAGCTTACATTCTGAACAGAGTACCAAGTAAAGCAGTTGCTAAAACACCTTATGAGCTTTGAACTGGTCGAAAGCCCAGTTTAAAGCACTTACATATTTGGGGATGTCCAGCTCAGGCAAGACCTTATAGGCCAAATGAAAAGAAATTGGACTCCAAAACAGTTAGCAGCTACTTTATTGGGTACTCTGAACGTTCTAGGGGCTATAAGTTTTATGATTCCACACTAAGGAATATTTTTGAGACGGGAACATCAACATTCTTTGAGGATGTTGAGTTTGGGGGGAGAAATAAGGTTAGAGACATTGCTTTTGAGGAGGAATTGGCTTCAGACCCAATCCATTCAGTTACTTTTGATAATATTCAGGTTCCTATACCTGTTGTTGTTCAAGAAGTAAATCCGGAACCTCAAGATAACAATGTTGAACAACTCCCTGTTCCAGAAGAACAAACTCAACAACCTCAAGAACCAGTGCCATTAAGGAGATCCACGAGAGAAAAGAGAAATATTATTCCGGATGATTATATTGTATTTCTCCAAGAACATGAGGAAAGTAATAGAATGTTGGAAGATAATCCAATCAACTTCTCTCAGGCCATGAAAAGTTTTAACTCTTAACAGTGGATTGATGCCATGAATGAAGAGTACAAGTCTATGCAAGACAATAAGGTTTGGGAACTTGTCCCGTTACCGGAAGGTGCAAAACCAATTGGTTATAAATGGATTTTTAAAACCAAGCAGGATGCAAACGGTAATGTGGAGAGGTATAAGGCACGTCTTGTGGCTAAATGCTATACTCAAAAGGAAGACATTGATTATACAGAGACTTTCTCTCCGGTTTTATCGAAAGACTCTTTCAGAACAATCATGACACTTGTTGCTCATTATGATCTTGAGTTACATCAGATGGATGTTAAGACTGCATTTCTCAATAGCGACATTGATGAGATGATCTATATGATGCAACCAGAAAACTTTGTGTCAGGAGACCCAAAGAATATGGTCTGCAAATTAGGGAAATCTATCTATGGACTCAAGCAAGCTCCTCGTCAATGGTATCATAAGTTTCAATAAATAGTTATCTCGTTCGGTTTTGAGATGAACATTGTTGATGACTGTGTATATCACAAGTTCAGTGGGAGTAAGTATATTTTTCTGGTTCTGTATGTGGATGACATCTTGCTTGCCACTAATGATATAGGCATGTTGCACGAAACCAAGAGATTTCTATCAAAGAATTTTGAGATGAAAGATCTTGGGGACGCCTCTTTTATATTAGGGATCCAGATACATCGAGATCGCTCTCGGGGTATTCTTGGATTATCACAAAAGAGCTATATCGATAAGGTACTTAAAAGGTTTGGCATGCAAGACTGCAGACCAGGAGACACCCCTGTGGCTAAAGGAGACAAATTTAGTCTCAATCAGTGCCCTAAAGGTAACCTTGAAATTTAGGAAATGCAGAAGATTCCTTATGCTTCGGCTGTAGGAAGTCTAATGTATGCTCAGGTATGTACGCGTCCGGATATTGCGTACATTATCAGGATGTTAGACAGATACTTAAGCAACCCTGGTATGGATCATTGGATAGCAGTCAAAAGGGTTATGATGTATCTTCAGAAAACAAAAGATTACATGCTCACATACAGAAAATCAGAACAGTTAGAGGTCATTGGGTATTCGGACTCTGATTTTGCTGGATGCCAAGATAGCAGGAAGTCTACATCAGGCTACATTTATATGTTAGCAGGAGGAGCTATATCATGGAAAAGTGTCAAACAAACACTAGTAGCTTCCTCCACTATGGCAGCAGAATTTGTAGCTTGCTATGAGGCATCCAATCAGGGAATATGGCTGCGAAATTTTGTCACGGGACTGCGCATTTTGGAAAATGTTGAAAGACCACTAAGGTTATATTGTGACAATAAATCTGCAGTAATGTATTCCAATAACAACAGGAGCTCAACTAAGTCAAAACATATTGACATTAAGTTCCTGGTTGTGAAAGAAATGGTACAGAGTGGACAGATATCCATAGAGCACATTGGGACAAACTCCATGATAGCTGATCCTCTTACTAAGGGATTGCCACCCAAGCTCTTTCATGAGCATACTGTTCATATGGATGTGGTATTATTTAAGGATATTATGTTTTAGTGGGAGTTTGTATTTGTGGTGCTTTATGTTTGGTTGTATTGTCTGATCAGAATAAAGTATTCAGTTAAGACACTCTGCTACATTATGTTTGGTTTTGACCTCTCTAAAGGAGGACCAGTTAAAAATAGACATGTACTGATCACATTGCATGTAATTTTCATGCTGCACATCCATGATTGATCTATGTCGTTTGATTGTATTGGTATATGTGACCATTGATGGGTCGAGTCACGATAAATGTGACGAAGGCCGCTTTGATCCTATATTAATATAGTCAATGGACGAGATTGTTCGAAAATACCTTTTCAGCGATAGCAATTTTGAGCTCATAAGGTTATACACAATTTAAGGAATCATATGGTGCCCAAGTGGGAGATTGTTGGATTTAATCTAATAAATCTAATTATGGGCACATATGATTAATCAATGTGTATTGCTATCTTTTAGGATAACCCACTAAAGTGATCAATCAAGTTGGGTTAATGGGTATTTAAATAAGTCATGAGGTTATATGTGCAGATACCAGGTTGTAATTGTGATTTGTTGAGGGGCCAAATTACAAAAGTACAACATCTATAAATAAGGGGTTATGGTCCCTAATCTAGGGTTACATTCTCTAATTCTCTTCACCCCCATCTAGAGAGAAATTCGGCTATAGAGAAAAACATAAGGTTAGAAGATCCAAAACTCATCTCAGGTTTCATCTATGGATTCAGGTATAAGCTCCCGCTCTTTTAGATTATTGTTAATCTCTTCGAATTAATCATTGACTTAATGTTTTAGATCTCAAGTTTTATTAGATCCAACAAGAAAACCCCAAGGTCGTAAAATTTGTACTTATTTTTTCCAAACAAATAAACCAAAAATTGGTCAAAAAAATTGTTTCTCACTCATTCTGTGGTGCTGTTCTTGAACAACATTAACGTCAACTTCTTTTTTGCACTTTCGAGTACTGAATTTTGTCCAAACAGAATTTTAGGTATTGAAACTAAAAAATGGCGAAACTTTGTGGTATTAAAGTGCAAATAGTCGTTATATTATCACTTGGCTCTTGTACACACGCATACTACTTCAATTTTTAAGAGCCCAATGCCTGTTTTGCGCCATCAAACTGCAACTAGTTTGAATAGAATGAAACCTCTTTTAACAAAAGAATATAACTTTGACCCTTATATAGCTCTTATATAATGACACAAGAGTGACTCTTTTGTTCATATGGGTACATTGGCTCCACCTAGCTTGCCTGATGGCACAAGTTTCCATTAAAATGGAATGAAGTACAAAAGAAATGTTGATTCTAGTACAACAAATATTGATAACAATCACAACAAAAGATCTGAAAATTTTCATTTTGCTCCGTTAGGCAAGATCCTCATATAATTCAAATGGTAAATTAGTCAATAGAAAAATTTGGAATGAAATATCTAAATACGAAAAGCCATGGTAACAAATATGCCAAACAGGCAAGCCTCACATAGTAACATGCACGCATCACAAATATAATAATAATATATAGGAAATAATAAACAATATAGTCAATACAGTGGCGCTTGATCTTTCCGCTATTGCCCCAGCAGCCCAAGAATTTCCCTTTGGCGTTCTCACTCGGTTCTCACTCGTTTTCTTCTGCCCAAAATTTTGTATTGATAGATTTTTGTCCCTTGTTTTCTAAAATTGGATGGTCAAAATCAAATCTTGGGTGACAATTCCTCGAGCTGAGATCTTTTAGTGAGATGGGTTGTTTCCCTTGTCTTGATTCAGAGGAAGATGGCTCTGAGTTGCGCATTACAAAAAATAAAGATGATGATGATGGTGATGATGAGAAGAGGATGGAGAAGCCCATGGTTCCTCCTGGGATCCAGAGCTTCTCTTTAAGTAAGTGAATTCTCTCTTAAGAATCTATTTGTTCTTTTCATTTTATTTTATTTTTTTGGAAATGTCATGTTTTGTTTAGTCGGGGATCTGTTTTGATACTTGATTTTGATCCGGGGGCTGAATTTTTTTTACCAAGAGGCACTTGGGTAGTTCTTATTTACTTGTAATTGGATGAAGCTTACTGAATCTTTGTCCTCTACGTTGATATTCTGTTGTGGATCAAGCTCATGGTAGCTTTTGGAAACTCAGATTTACTTGTTAGTGCGTTTTGATGAAAATAATGAAAACATTTGCAGAAATAATTGATTCGCAGATTTTAATGTAATTCTAGATTTATGTTTCCCTTCAAGGATTTAGAGGAGGAGAAATGATGATCTCTGTTTAAGCAGTAGATTTGTATGATCTGGATGATGTTTATAGGGAGTTTTAATGTAAAGAAAATTTGTGTCTTGTTGGTCTGGTGCATTTGGAACTTTTAGATACTTCAGCACAGTTTTATTGGCTAGTTACGAGTAAGCTTTGAAAATGGAGAAATGAAAAATTCTTAATTTCTACAGTTTGCTGTGAGGCCTGGCTCAACGGTAAAAGTGAGGGATTGGGTTATACAAAGCAAGAGAACAAGATTGTCTTTTTGAGTAAAGTAAACTTTATTCTTGAATGATAATTTACTCTCTAGAGTTACATTTCACTTCGAAATCATTGGTAAGGGGTAGATAGGTGCTTCTTTGATCAGGGTTGATACTTGAGTTGACCTCTCATAGTTTCATATGGTTGTGTATATCAGAAGTTCTAGCCTTGCTTATATTGTCAGTTAGATGGCATTGGTTCTGAATCTTAATCTTAGATACCATAAATTAATAGTGAGTTCCTAGTTCAAGCTTATTTTTCCTTCTCCACGTCTAAATTTCTAATTGTTCCTTGGTTTCATGCTGTATTTAGGTAAAGGTGCCAAAAGTTTCATCATATGATACAAATTGCAATTGCTTACATTCAATTCTAATCATTAGAGAAGGATTTTTTTTTTTGAGAGAATAGGGAAGAAAAATGTTACTGCTTGTGTTATTAGAATAGGAGCTGTGCATTTGAGTTTGCTTGTGTTGGGCTACTTCCTAGTGACTGATTGCCAATTTTTGTTTCATACTTTTATAGAACCTTCTGCTTATTGAATGGTGATATATTTTTCTCAGGATCTCGAATTTTTCCTTTAGGGCTGAACTTTTAGAAGTAATGGCATTGCTTTTTGTTCTAAATCAAATTTATATTTCACTTTTATTCATCAAAGATCAAGGTACTGACTATTTTCTTAAGTTAGATATTTTAATATTGCTTCAATGTAATTGATGCAATAGAAGATCAGATGACTTTGGTAACTTGTGAGTTAGATTGAGTAGGACTGTAGATGCTACTGGTGAATGAATTCTATACTTCAGACGTTTTCATGAACTGTAAGTTTGACGTTTATGGACTCTTAACAAATTTTGATATTTTGACATATATTTCTAAATTTTTTTGAGATCCTTTAGGATTGAAAATTCGTAATGATCCTTATTGTAGTAACTTAGTTGCAGATGCATACTCTTTTTTATCCGAGTTGAAGATATTACATGTGACTCGGTTAAGTTTAAGTTTACATTGTGAGTTTGGTTGATTTGAGGTTTATAAAATTAGTGTCTTATGAAGGTACCAAGTTGTCTCTAGATTTTTCTTTGACGATTTGTCTGTTTGTTGGTTGTGGATCTGATTGATTTTTGTTCTTCTTGAACTGTAATCTTATTGTCACCTGTGAACCTAGCAGGTGTCCCTAACTTAAGTTTTATATTGAGGTGCAATTCCATGTCAATGCAATTGAATTTCTTTCTTTAGCACATCATGGAGTGCATACTCGTCTTGTTAGAGATGGTCATACTGATTTTATCGAAGAATATATAAAGAATCCCAAGACTAAAAATAGTATGTGCATCAAATGTTAAATTTTTATGCTTTATGAATCATTAGGAACTGAGAGTCCCAAGACCAAAAAGAGTCCTCAGTCAAAGAAGGAATCCATGAAGCAAGAGGATGTTCTTGGTATCAATATATCAGCACAGACTTTCACTTTGAAGGAACTTGCGGCTGCAACAAAAAACTTCAGACCAGAGTGTTTTCTAGGGGAAGGGGGATTTGGGCGGGTATATAAAGGACAGTTACAAAGTACAGGACAGGTAATATGTACTATCTACTATGTGATCTTCTGCTAAGTATATATGATAATTACAATCACCTTATCTCTTCCATATTCTGGTAATGCTAAGTTTCTACTATGTGTGGATGCTTGATCCATTGACGGTGATGGTAGGTTGTGGCTGTAAAACAATTGGATACAAGTGGGCTCCAAGGAACTAGAGAATTTCTCGTGGAGGTTATCATGCTCAGCGTGTTGCACCATCCCAACCTCGTTAATTTAATTGGTTATTGCTATGATGGAGATCAGCGACTTCTTGTGTATGAGTTCATGCCCTTGGGAGCACTGGACGATCATTTACATGGTACAATTTTCACATCTCATGTTCTGATTGAGTTTCCCTGCTCATTGTAAGAAGCTTAGCCCACCTTTTATTTGTATATTTAGAAATTCAACCTATACTGGTTGCAAAAATTCGGACCTTTTATTTATATATTTTAGAAATTCATCCTACAGTGGTTGCAAAATTAAAAAAAAAAGAACATCATTTCCAATGCTTAAAAGTTTCTTAGACCATATGACTATGATTTTTTTCTGACCTTGCCTTTCATGTTCTATGAAACTTACAAGGATGCCATACATATATATTTGTATAACTTACCAGGATGTCATTGTACTATGTTATGAAAAGGGCCAAAGTTGTAGAGTCGGATAATGGAAGAAGGTTTATGATAACCTATTATTTATCGGAGTAATAGTATATAACGAAAGTTGGAGGAATTTGTTTGTCTGACATCAAAAAATTATGTAACTGTATCCTACTTCCACTCTTACCAAGTCAAGTTTGGGAAGCCAATTTCTTATCCCAGAGAGAGAGAGAGAGAGAGAGTCAGGTTTTGTGTGATTCCTGCTTGCTCTACTATATATAAAACCTACCTAACCCCCTCTGGGATTTGAAGTCAGTTTTCCCAAACTTGACATTATCGGTCTGATCAGAAGATTCAGAAGATTATTTCTTTTTCAGACCTTCCACCTGAAAAAGAAGCGCTGGACTGGAACACGAGGATGAAGATTGCAGCTGGGGCAGCGAAAGGCTTGGAACATCTCCACGACAAAGCTGACCCTCCCGTTATCTATCGGGATTTCAAATCATCCAACATATTGCTGGATGAGGGCTTCCATCCTAAATTATCTGATTTTGGGCTTGCAAAGCTTGGTCCAACCGGTGACAAGTCTCATGTTTCCACACGCGTCATGGGGACCTATGGATATTGTGCTCCAGAGTATGCAATGACCGGCCAGTTGACAAAAAAGTCTGATGTCTATAGCTTTGGTGTTGTTCTCTTGGAGCTTATCACAGGAAGGAAAGCCTATGATAGTACTAAATCACATGGACAGCAGAGTCTTGTTGCGTGGGTAAGATGCCTGTCTTCTTTTGCTTGGATTTTCTGCAAGTTTTTTTCACTTCTTTATTATTTTGAATATTGCACATGTTTTTGTTTTGATTTGCATGCTTAAAGGAGTAATCATGTTAGATTCGTATTTAAAAAATTGTTCATGTATCAAAAAAAAAAAAAATAAAAAAAAAAATAAAATAAAAATAAAAGTAAAGAAAATCAAGTGTTTGAGACTGATTAATGATTATGCATCAAACAATTGATTAGAGCAGGGGATAGATAATTTGAAGAGTTATGAAGTTGGGGCTTGGGATGGGTAAGAGAAGGGGAAGTAATTATTCCTGTTTGCAAGAGAGAGGAGTTATGATAAAATAGGAAGATTTGAGTGGCAATACTAGTTACTTCTAGGTAACTCCAAACTCGTCATTACCCTTATTGTGATAAGAGTAAGAGTTAGGGGGATTAACCATAACTTTTTAGCTAGCTCAAGTTACTCAACCGAACACCCTTTTAGGTTAAGAGAGTTGGATATAGGAGTTAATGAGATTTTAAGATATGAAGGTCTTGCTTAGCTGGAATAGTTCAGGTGGAGATGGAATCTCATGTGCTATCAAGATTTGGTTAATTTCATCAAAGCGGTGGAATTTTCAAGCCAAGATCTCTCCAAAACGCATGACTATTTTTGCATAATTATTTTGTAAAAAAGTCCAGCATCTTGTAAGCTGTTTTATAATTTTTATGTTTTTGACAAGAGTTAGACTTGAACTCTAATCTAATACTTGTTGCCATATACAACCAAATAGTTACAAGAATTTGGAATTAGGTTTTTGTTGATTGTTTGGATAAGAAATGAATTAGCAAGAATTAGAAATTCGGAATGAGAGAACAGAGAGTTTCTCCCCCCTTTTGCAAGAGTATTAGGACTTACGTTCTTGTTAGTTGTCCGGATAAAGCAAGATTTAGAAATTCTGAGTGAGTGAAAGAAAAGGGAGTTTACGTATTTGGAAGAGTTAGTGACAAGAGAATAGATAAGGAAAATAAGAAAATGACAAATCACATATGTAAAGTAGTTCACCACTTTAGGAATACAAGAACCACCACCAACTGAGGTACGGAACAAAACCAGTCCGAGGACTTCATCAAATAGATACGGTAAATCAAAGAGATAACTAGGAAACCGAAATGCTGAAACTCGTTGATTAGAATTTTAGTCTAGGTACTTGAACTCTAACCGGGATAACCCTCCAAGAATAAGAAATGAATGCTAAGTTCGTCCATATTGAGTGCACTAATAATAAGAGTATGGAAAGACTAGATATTTAAGGACAAATTTTTAACAAAGACTATTTTTGAAATTTAATTATGAAAATCAACCCAGTTAAAACTTATTTATCAAAAATGACCCGTTTATATCCACGTCAGCATAATAATAAAAAACTTGATCGATTTTTTAATTGTGAGTATTTATATACCCGGGATTGCTAATCCCGGATAATTAAATATTGAGCACAAAATCCATTAAATTTTGTTTCTAATTTTTATTTTACCTATTTGAGCTTATCCATTTACTATGCTATAACCTGTAACCCTCAATCATAAATGAATTTGTGGATGGCGGCGTGGGAGGGTGGGTCCCACTTTTAACTTCCCTTTTAAACATTTTTAGTAGGAAAGAGGAAATCACGATTATTTTGTTATTTGAAATCATCAATTACCTAGGATTGTCAATCTCGGTTACTAAAAAAGATCAAAATTTCAAAATCGACCGAACTTCTAATTGTTGCTGACATGGACAGAAAACAGGTCGGTTTCAAGTAATAAGTTCTAGCGGCTTGGTTTTCATAATTTAAATTTTAAAAAAGTTATTTTTAAAAATTTGTCCGATATTTAATGTATTTTCAAAATCTAACGAGGCTGTATGCATCTACACACAATCTAGCACTAATTTTACTTGAAAACCTCAAAGTTCACCATTTTCAATGAATAGAAACTCCATTTCTATGTTGCATGGGTACAAGTACGGGTGTGGATACCAGTATGTACGGGTACGAGACACTACAAACTTGTAAAAGGTAGGGTATGACGACATAGCTATATAAATATTTATGTGCACATATATTATATATTGGAATTAATAATTTATATAAGAACAAAGATGATAATTAAAATTCCTATATAACAATTTTGTGTTCCTTATAAATTGGAAAATCACTAGTTTTGAACTAGACATCCAAAGGACCCTTTAAAATTGTAATTTGGGTGCTGAGCTATGTCCAACGAGTTTCAAGAAGTGGATGTGAAGTGTAGGATACATGTCCAAAAATGTATAACTAGTGTTTTATATTAAAACATGTATTGTATAATTAAGTATATGCCTGAATAAATGCATGCATATGTGCAAGGAGTGTCCAAGGAGTTTGGGTACGGGTGCGTGTCTTGATACGGGTACGGCTTCAGAGTAGAAGTATCCATTATCTTGGTAACATAGCTCCCATCCAATGAATCACCCTAGAGATCTCCCTTTTCTACCCCGCCATTTTTGTTTCAAATTCTTCCACATCATAAAATCTGATCATACTCAAGCAATTATCCACTAGGTTTTGGACATGGGCAATAACATGTGCTGGACTTTTTGGTTTGTCTTCCTTAGCTCCTGCATCAGTAAGAGTAGGATTTGTGATCAAAACAGGCCATTTTGAGTGTTGTTTTGGTGATACTAAGGTAGCTAGCACAAAACTTCATTAGCGTTGTATCAAGGTGCGGTTAGGTTTCTAAATAAATTGTTTTTATAAGAGTGTGTAGCCTAGGTGGTTCTCTGGGAGTTCTTGGTGAGTTCCTTGCATGTGGAGGTGTTTAGAGGTTTTCCAGAGAGTTCTTTATGAATTTATTGCGGTCTAAATGTAGTGCATGCGTGCATGCGTGCATGCAAAAAGGAGTACAATCCTTCTTTCAATCTTTCCTGTTTACTCTAATTTTCTTCTTGTATTGCTTTTCATAGAATAATTACAGCTAGGGAACATTGTAGTGAAAACCATTCTCTCTCGTTTCTGCTATTAAAGCAATTGACACGCAACACATGAATATATCCTTTCATATTTGACTTCATCTCAGTACTTAAATTATGAATAATAAGTTCAACTAGGGTTTTACTTGTTACAGACTATGACATTCTTATCTATCCCTCTTCAGGCACGACCCATGTTCAATGATCGAAAGAAGCTCGCAAAATTAGCTGACCCGAGGCTTGAGGGTCGCTACCCAATGCGCGGGCTCTACCAAGCCCTAGCAATTGCATCCATGTGCATCCAAGAAGATTCCACAGCTCGTCCCCTGATCGGAGATGTTGTGACTGCTCTCTCCTACCTGTCAACCCAAGCCTATGACCCAAGCTCTGCAACTCGCCATCGTTCAAGCAACCAAGAACGAGAAGAAAGGAGAAAGAACGAGAGCGAGGAGCCAGAGAGTTCGGAGAGAGATGAGTCACCGAAGGAAGCAGCTGTGATTACAAACAAGGATCTCGATCGAGAGAGGGCGATTGCAGAAGCTAAGTTATGGGGAGAGAACTTGAGGGAGAAGCGAAGAGCGGCGGAGAGTTCGAATGGGTAAGAGAGTTGACAAGAGAGGATGAGAGTTTGTATATTGAGGGTAAAGGGGTATAACGTTCATGTACTTTTACTGGTTACTCTCTGTATTTGTTCTTGCCGTAGAGCATCATCTGTGAAAAGTAAATATTAATGCACTAATCAAGAAGCAACATTGCATTCATCTGTGAAAATTAAATATTGGAGGTTTACAACCAAATGAACCAATGATGCATCATCTATGAAAATTTCTCTTAACCATCGTGCGTACAAATTGCATGTGACCGTCAGTTCATCGCATTCAAGGATGCAAAGCAAAATGAGCTTAATTAAAGTTTCAGAGCAAGTCATACGTCTCCGCGCCATAGCAGATGACCTTTACCTTCGTATTACTGATCGACAAACACTTCGTATTCCTGAGAGTACTTTACTAACCACAATTAAAAGGTAAACTTTTACCTCTAATAAACTTTCCATCTCATCCGTTTACTGCTCATAGGAACTCCTAAATGGGGTTAATTTATCAACTTCCCTTTCGCTCCCTTCCATTATCTCCATCCAAACAGCGGGTGACCCATCAAAACTAAACTATATGACCAATCCAAACATAGACCGTGCACGAAAGAGCTTCAATCAGAAGTCAGAAGTAGGGGTGGTAAACAACCGAATCAAATCGAATATTAAAGTGTTCGTATTTGTATTTGTTTAGAATTATCGAATTTAAATCAGAATTCGAATATCCGTATATGGAGTTTCTTGAATTCAAACTCAAATAATCGTTATTTGATAAATATTCATGAATATTTATCAAATATCAAAGTATATTCATTCCGCTAAAGAATTTTATTTTCAATTAGTATTTTAAGTTTATAAATAAAAATTATTCCTTTATAATTATGATGTACATATATTTAATTTAAATACTTTATTCAAAAGCTAAATTAGGATTATTTAAGTCTCTCGAAATTAGTATATGGAACTTTAGTACAAATGGTAAGTTGGTCGAGAGTATAACATCATGTGACTAATACTATAAATTATATTTTAAACGAATATTTAATAAGCAAATGAATCAAATATACATATGGTTAAATTAATTCTATTCATTAATGAATTTGAATACTAAAACTTATTTGTTTAGTATTAAATGAACTATCAAATCGAATTTAATTGAATAGTTAGTCTAACAATTAACGAACTTTTTGTTAATTATTTGGTTTGTTTCACTACAACAAAAGTTGTATGTATTCACACTTATTTTATGACGCATATAAAAATGCTATTTTATTTACAAAGAATTAAATAATAGTGATACAAATAAAAAGTATGGCAAATCACGACACATATTTGTGTTAGATATACAATTAAATATATATAAGTAAACAAGGCTAATATGTCAACATGGATTGTGAGAGGATATATTGATGGTTTTGAATAATAAATCTTAGACATTAGTTATGATGGTAAAATACTTATGATAGTATATAAGCTAATTAAAAAGCTCTATTGTTAAGCTTGTTTTGATGAGAGTAATCCTAGGATGGGTAACCTTTTGGAAAGTTATAGTATTAAAGGGTGTTACACTCTTTATATTTGTATGGTCTAAACACAATTATGTATCACCACTCTTGACACGTATATGTGTTAAAGGTTTTGTGACACGTGTATGTGTCATTACTTTCGACATACACGTGTCGTGAGTTTTGTGACACATTCGCATGTGTAGAAAAATACTCTCCACACATACTCTAACTACACTTTTGATAAATATGGCGCTCCATATTTGTGACATAAAAATATGTCAATGTAGAGACAAAAAATGTATCATAATTTACAATTTTTGCTGTAGTGTTTCCACCCTAGGATACAATAGGTCTTCCAATAACGTCGGGTACGTGTTATCTCCAAACGAAGGATGGCCCAAATATTAGATCATTCAGAAGCCCACCCTATTCGACCTGTTAATAAACCCAATAACGGTCCCGCTCGTGTTTTTTATATCTACGTGCTTAGTTTGCGAAGCATAGCGGCTGATTGAATAATGCGTCATATCAAGCTAAAAATTGCGAGCGCTATCAATGGATTAGGACTCTCTCTCTTCATGGGTGTCGGTGCCTTTCATGATACGTGTGCTATGGCTTTATGGGGAAATTCGAAAAGAGCTAAAATTACATTCATTAGTATAGTTTACAAATAAAAAAAACCAGATTTCATGAATTCACCGAAACAAAGTCCATCTTGTATAACGATTAATCAGATTGGTTCTGTTTTCTTTACTTTTGGTTTAGTAAGAGTTCATTAGCTAAATATTACGTACACACGCCAGGAAGAACACTTATGATATTGTGTTGAAATATGTTGTTGGGGATTCGAAACAATCAATCAAGCCCATGTCTTTCGGACCTTGTGCTAAGAGTTTAGCAATTAGGAAAATCATCGCAAATAAAAAAAATTACAAGAAAGATAAACAAGAAAGTGTTGTGCGCAGCGGAAATTTCGGCAGCACCTCCGGTGCGCAAGGTGCACAACAAGAGATTAGATCGAAAGAATTCCTGTCTCACCAAGAAAACAAGAATCTGAAGCGGATATCTCAACAAAGTAAGATATCGGCTCTTCCTCTCATCAGTTCTAGGACTGACCTGTCGAGGGATCCTAAAAGCTATTACAAATCACGGCAAGAACACAAATTTTACGTGGTTCGACAAATCGCCTACGTCCACAGGGCAAGGAGGGGGGGAGATCTACTAATAGAGGGAGAGAATACAACTAGAGTTTACAATCACTCAATCTAAACCCTCACACAAACTCTCAAATCTCTCACAATATCTCTCTACAAAAGGATGCACAAAATCCCTCTCAAAAAGCGGTGATTCCTCTGCGTTTCTTCTCAAAAGACCAACCCTCTTGCGCCCCGAAACCTAGCCCCTCGCGAAGCTATATATAGCTGCGGTTGTAAAATTGGTTCGTGGGCCTTCGTGGGCTTTCTCGTGAAGTCTTCACGCATTTTGCTCCCGCACGCGTTTTGCTTCAGCAGTGCTATCTCATCCCGCGTGAACAAAACTCCAAGCGTGGCCCCCACCCACGTCCGCTCACAATTCTCCACCTCGGTGAAGTTTTTCCAAAACTGAGCCGACACAAAAAACAACCAAATGTCCCACTCATTCGACAAGTTAGGAATCCGAACGTGAGTCCAAACAATCTCATCCCCATTAAAATCAACTAATCCAAACTGGCTGTATCTTAAAGACTGCCTTTGTATCCTCTTGCCTAAGGAATCAAGCCTCACGTAGTTCACCCAATGACCTCCAAAGACCCTCAATCAAATAGAAAAGTCTACAACTCTTCTTCAATATCACCAAACGATCTGCAACTGATAGCACTCTCAATGGCCCCAGATTGAGACAAATCAAACACCTCCATCTGAGGTGAACTAATGACCGTATCCAAATCAAGTCCATCAGCTGCAATCGAATCCAACTCATCATCTGCATCCAAATCCAAATAATCCCCAATCTGTGTCACCTCAGCTAGAATCCTAAATGATACAGTATGATCTGAAGTCTCCACCCAACGTGGAGTAGCATCACTCTCCACCCGCTGCGATGTCCCAAAGATGTGATCACCACTCTGTTAGACCCTAGAGGGAGGGTGATTAGGGTCTTATGCTAATCTAATCCGATTAAATACCAATTAAAACTAATTAATACGTTATCCTAGTAAGTATGAAATACAACAATATATGTAAGCTAGGATAAGCAATATGAACAATAAGATATATCCTATATGATGAAATATATATGCAAGGATATATAAACTAACACAAGGGTAAACAATATGAACTAGATAGTGGATGATATAGATAATGAGCTAATGACAATGGCGATATAAGATATGAACATAAAAATGAATGAACGCCAAAGCACACTCAAACAAGCAATATGATCACGGAGTTCGGACCTTCCGTCCTACGTCTCCGCTCCCCACTCCCGGGGAGAAATCCACTAACACAATCCGATTTAGAAGCCAGAACTTCTTCTACACACTCGGTTTTCTAGCTAACCGAAAACTCTACAACTCACACTCTTGCAATCACACTCTACACCCACTAAGTGTTGGACCTAGCCGTGTCTCCCTCAAGTACTCGGTTACAACCTCTCCCTAGGCACGTCAACCGACGCCACTCCTCTTGGGACGATCCCCGACTCTCACCACACACTCCTCACTCGGTGTACAAGTGTATTACAAAGTGATTCTCACAATAAGCACAAATATGACAAATGATTGTTCTCAAAACAAGGTGAGAACTCAATTAAGCTCACTCTCAATGTCACAAACCCACAACCCTAAATTATACTATGAATGTAAATACAATAAGCTCAAAAGGTTGTGTGTGAACAAAGAGATATAAATCAAAACTAAACTCAATGTAGTTCTAGCTTAATAACAATGATAATCAAATATATAAAAAGCTAGAAATAGAGTTTAGAAAACTTCTCAATATATCAAGAGTTGGAGGGAGAATAGTTGAATGCCCAAACACCAATAGATGATCTCCTCAAGCTCTTGTTGAATTGAATCACAAAACCGAAACACTCAATTGCTTAAAAGCTTCTTAAAACAAACTTAAACAAACACTAAACAAGTTTAAACCCTTGTTAAAATCTTTTAAACCATTCTCTTGTTAGTTAAAAGATGACAGCAATGGGGTATTTATACCCACTCTAAAACTCAGCCAAAACCCCAAGCAAAAGTCCAAAAAGCCCCAGAAAAATCAGCTCAGAAAATGGCCGTTGGAGTGCAACGGATCTATTGTCGGTCGACCGAAAATTCTGTCGGTCGACCGATGAAGAAGTTCGGTCGACCGACGGAAAAGTCCGGTCGACCGCTATCCAGGTCAAAACAAAAGAAAACGAGCAGAGACTTCGTCGGTCGACCGGTGCGGTCAACCGATGGAGCTTTCGGTCGACCGACAGACTCTCCTGACCAACTCTCTGCTGCATGCTAACGAAAAAACAAATGAGTGGTCAACCAGATTGGTCGACCGAAAACTGATATGCCAGAAAAACTAATTTGCTGATTTTAAAACGTTGTTTAAAAATATCAAATAAATTCCAAAAAATGT